AAGTCACGTAAACATCCTTAGCCCGTTACTATAAGTTATGACTGTTGTTGAATTTTTTATAAATTATTACATAGAAAATAATACTAATGAACCAAAAGCTCGTCCCCATCCTTTTCAAAAATTCAAAACTTTCTTCCTTCACATCCGATCTGCACATGTTTATTTTGAAAGAAGACATGCTCTTTCTAATGGTACTTGAGGCACTTTTTGATAGCTCCACAGATCGAAGTCGGTGAAGAAAATTACTCCATTTTGATATTCCTCATGTTTGATCGCAAAAATCTGCTTGCAGAAAATCGGAGCAGTCGGTATCATAGCTATTATTACCTACTTTTTTTGAGTATACAAGATTGCGCTGATTGAACGTCTTTTAAAGATTCTTGATTTTTGAGGAAACTGTAAAAAAGAGTAAATATGATTTTTTTGGCATTTGCTTCGAAAATCATAACTTTTCATAAAGAGGTTATCAGCGCAAACCTGGCACAGTCAGAAAGAGCAGGCTATAATAAAACCTATAATGCTCCGATTTCCGTTGCGAGTTTCAGTTTTGCGACTAAACGCAGAAATTTTGAGAATGGAATAATTGTTTCTCCTGCTTCTATCTCTGGAGCTTGCATCCATTAAAAGGTACTTCTGGTAGGTACTATTGGGAACGTGAACTCGAAAATAAATATGTGCCGATCCGTTGAAGATGTAGGAAGTATCTGGGAGAGAGAAAAGCATTCAAAACGACAAAAACAGAGGAGCAGAGAAGGACAAATATATTAAAGCAGCGGCGGTGCAAGAAACTTTTTCAAGGGGGGAGGGAACAAAAAATTATTTGGGTTTGTGGACGTGAGCCACCGAACAAAGGGCAATTTAGGAATGGTCAAAATTTCGTGGTCCCAGTTTTTGTATGCCCTCATTTTTTTTAAAGCAAAAATGGGCGTGGAGTGAGCCACACCTTCGAAAATTGCCTAAACAGACTACTTCAGAGTGTAGAAGAGCTTTGATCTTTTATTATCTACAGTCGCAGACTACTATGAATATTCTTGAGACCCATTATGCTCCGCCACTTTCTTTTGATATATTTCTACCACATTATTCCTATTTTACACAATCTCTCAACACTATTATTTAAAAATTTTGTTTTCGAATTTCTCGAGCTATGATTCCAAATCGTAAGTTTTGAACTTTTTATCTTTGAATCAAAAATCATTATTTTGTGATGTGTGCGCTGTTGTAAGAGGAAAAAGATTTGAAAATCAAAAACAGAGGGTAGAAAAGGATAGACACACGAAAAGCAGTGGCGGCGCGAGAAATTTATTCAAGGGAGGAGAGGGAGGGATTGAAACTTTTGGGTTCGTGGGCGTATGGCCACTTCCAGCAAAAAAAAATCCAGGAATGGTAACTTTTGCGGTTGCAATTTTTATACCATCTCGGTTCTTTTTAGCACAGCTCCTTCGAAAATTGTCCACAACTATTAGGTGGGTCCAATAGTACGTTCGCCACTTTTTCAAAAAATCATAATTTCCTTTCGACTCGATGGATCTCTTTGATTTTATATTCATCTAAGAGAGGAAATCATTTTCTTTGCAATGGTATTTCTGCCATAAATTGGCTTGAGAAAGTTCGCGAGTTAGAAGCCATTAAAGATTACTCTAGCTTGGCATTTTCAAGCAGGGTCACCAAAAAATTCTGAAATTTTTCGATAGGAAATTTTTCTCAATAGAACAAATCATGTTCTTTACTATAGGGCCTTTTTCAAAAACAAAAAAGATTGAAATTAGAACCAAATAAAGAGAACTATTACTTCAGTTTCGTAATTTTTGAGCATGCTCAAAAATGCCCAAAAACGTCACAGAAAAGACGGATTATTCATGAACATGGGTTTTGTGACCTCCATTTAGCTGACAGAAATTCGTGCCAATCGAAAGCAATTTTGATTTTCGTAGAAAATCAGATCCGAAAATTCGGTAATATAACGAAAATCAAAATTGCTCTTGATTGGCACGAATTCTCTCAACTAAAAAGAGAAAGTCACTAAACCCATGTTTACATGACTTTCCCGTCCTTCCCGACGCAAAACTGGTGTAAATCTCTTTATTTGCTTCTGATTCCAACTTTTTTTGTTTTTGGAAAAGGCTATAGTAAAGAGCATAGCTTTCTCTATCGAAAAATACTTTCAGAATTTTTTGGTGACTCTGCTTGAAAAATGCCAATTTTGGGTAATTTTCTTCAGTTGCTTCTAACTTTCAAACTTCCAAACTTTTTTATGCCAATTCATGGCAAAAGTACTGCTGTAAAGAGAATGACTTCTCTCTTAGATGAATATAAACGCAAAGAGATCCATCGAGTCGAAAGGAAGTTATGATTTTTTGAAAAACTGGCGAACGTATGGTCCCACCTGATTTGAATCTGAAATTTTTTGAAAATATTTCAATATTCACCAAGAGCTTGTAAATCACTTTGAAATTTCGGTGAACCATTTTTCTCTCCTTCCCCCCTCCCCACCATTTGTTTTGATATATTTCTACCTAATCACTTCTGCTTTATTTAGACCCAGTGCATATTTTCTACAAAGTAATAGTTTAGAATTACTTGCATTATTATTTTAATCAAAGCACATAAAGCAAAGAATTCGTATACTTGAACAAGGGCGTTCTGCTTACGAAGTTCCTCCGTTGAGTCCTTTTCCAGTACTCCAGCAGCTTGGTGATGGTTGTTCACACATCTGCACCGATGCCTGAAAGAATACTTAGAATATGGATGGGTATAGGTTTACTTACGCCAACATTGAAGAAAGAAAGAAGGAAGAGAAAGATTAGAGGAGAAACAGAAGCGAAACATCATGGAAGAAAAGAGTGCGCTGTGCGCTGTTGATGTTGGGTTCACCATTTCGCAATCGCGAATGCATGCGCTCTCAAAGTCCTGCGGAAATGCTGGCAGGTCAAAGTGCTGCGGAAACCTTACGAGCCTCAATGCACTTTCGCAGCGCTTTATGCAAAGTGCTGCGGAAGTTCCGGTTTACGATCGCTGTGACGTCAAATTCCCTCGGAAACCTCGCATTTTGGAGCGTGCACTTTCCCAATGGTTAAGAAAGTGCTGCGGAAACGCTGCGAGTTCTGCTTGTCCTGCAGAAGTTCCGGAGAATTGTCTGAGAAGGATGACGTCTCTCCTCGTTTTCGGCAATTCGGAGCTAGCTTTGCTTTTTGAAGTGAATCAGGTTCACCTGAGGCTTCGATCCATTTTGTATTAGGTTGTTGCATAAGTTCTGTCCGATTTGAAATTTTTGATTTCAAAATGTCATAACTTCTTTCAAAGTCAGCTTTTTCCCAAGATCTTAGTTTCTATTTGTTGAGCAATTCCTTAGCTATCAGACAGATATTGAAACCTTTGGAAATCCGTGTTAAGGAAGAAGCAAGAATTCAAAAACTTTACAGCGTTTTTCTTCAAAGCTTTCTTATTTGACATGGCAGTGCTCCCTTATGAGAATTGATAGGCATCTTGTCTAACAATGGATAAATAGAGAATTTTTCGTAGATTATTTTGCACCATAAAAGAGCCCATAGGGCCTGCGTTGCCGAGAGATTTTTTGACCGAACAAAAAATTGGCCTTTTTTTGACCTCGCTTCAGCGCATTTGTGCATGCCTATTTACAAATTACGAAAATTTCACAGTTGCCGTGAGCGCCGAAAAAAAATTGGTGGATGGTCTCTGCTAGCCCTTGCTTTACGCTAGCACCTCCAACTTTGAAGTCGTCGATTACTTCTATTCACAGAAAGTTATTGCCTGAAAAACATCTATACAATCAATCAGTGTTCAACAATGAATTTTACTAGCAAGACGTTTTCTTTATAGAATCGAGCTTCTGTATATACTAGCCTTCTACACCCTTATTCCGCAACCAATGAAAGAACTTGACTTGAAGGGCGCATTGTGGAGATTTCCTCGCAAGAACATATTTTTAGGGTGAGACCATACCTCGTCCACTTGGAGATTTTAGGTCTGAAATCTCCTTCCACTTAGAAATTTATTGAGATTTGAGGCGTTAGAAAGAGCAAGAAAAGCGCTTTCTAATGATACTAACAATTCCGCGTTAGAGATGATATTCTTTTAGAACAGCTGCCTCAAACATAAGGCAAAAAAATCGGACAGAACTTATGCAACAACCTAAAACAGATCAGGTCATTTTTGTAGGGGTCAAAACCTTACTTCTATTAGGTGGTTAATAAAAAAACCTTTGTTTTGATAGTTTTTATCACACTGCACTTCATTTCGCCTTCGCTAGCCGTCCTCTTCCTTCTTTTTGGATATTCTGTAGTTGCCTAGAGCATAATCCAACATGCTAATGACCAGCCCTCCCCCCTCTCCCGCATGACGTCGACGTCGCGATTCGAAAACCTGCAGCGGCCGCGGCGCCGCTGCGCGTCCCCGTTTGCTCGTCGCTACGCCGATCGATGGCGACAGAAAGCAGTCACGCGATGTTCTCTTTCTCTTGTAGACTCTTTGAAAGTGTTGGCTTCGTTCAGAGTTTGAGATTTAGGCTTCTTATCATGCTGTTTCTTGTTGAGAGAGTCTCTTTAAGCGGATTTAATGCAGTCCGATGTCAAAAAGTCGTTGTTTTCGGAAATTCCGCCTTATTTTTGAAGCTGTAGTGATTTCAGAATGCATTCGCTCCTCATAGTTCATAGTTTTGTCGTCATTGCTAGTTTCATGCTTTCTGGATTAGGAAGTTGCTCTTATTGTAATCTTCCATAAATACCTTTCACTCAAGCAAGTTTTGTAGATGAAATATCTTTGGCATAAAATGCTTTGAATGGACTTTCTACATCCTAAATACGCTAAATTGCATTTCTGCTGTTGCTAAAGAATAAATATCAAAGGTTCATACTCGCAAAGAATCAAATAGCAATCGCATTTTTTTAGATGCATTATTGTTGCCTTCTTTCAGAGAGTGAAGTTGTTATCCATTTCCGCATACATGAATAAGTCTCATTTTCTATCTCTGGTTGATTTCACAATGACGTATTGTAAATTACGTAGCTATCCTATTATGCTTTCTATGCTAACAGTTGCCTATTCAGATTGATGTCCTCGATCCATTACAAGTTTCGAGCGACATTAGAATACAAAACGCTACAGTTTGACGGTCTTCATATCACTGGAGCCGATTTGAAGAAGGAAATCTGTGCAAAGGAAGGAATTAGAGCCGAAGCGTTTGATCTCTTATTACAGGTAATATAAAAATCTTTTCTATCGTAAATACTCTTATTGTAATGAAGCATTTTCAGAATGCTCATACAAAACGCAGTTACACAGCGGAGGAACTCATTCCGCGAAATTCATCCATCATAGTGCAACGAGTACCCAGAGAAGATGCGGAGAAATTGCCCAAAATTCAGTGAGTAAACCGGTTTTATTCTCACCTTTTCTGTAGAGTAGACAAATATCTCCTGCGCAATCCTTTTTGCTGAACGTGCACTAGATAAGAGTTCAAAGTCATGAGTAAGAGTCAAGCGTCATCGAATGATGCAGTGAAATTTTCTCCACTTCTGTCATGTTTTTGAAAATATGGCCGTTGCTAGTTTGAGTCGAGTAGAACATAGATATAGTGTACACAGTTAGGTGCAGGAACAAATAACACAATTTGGTAATAGTTTTTATGCCATTTTGGTTGATAGAGTTAGAGGTCTCAAATATGTAGCGAAAAGCTCGGACTGGCTATGGTAGAGTTTTTGATCAAGCCAATTTTAGAAGTGTCACCAGTGCCAAGCAATTTTTTTTTCCAAATTAATAGACGGCTCTATTTTTCTGATCTTTTGGTCATGTTGAATAACTTTATGATGCATGCAACTTTGTGCTTCTGATCGTCCACTGTGCTCACAAGCATGGCGCCTTTCTGTGCTTTGTCTGCTTCTCATGACGAAACTCGCTCAGTAAAAGTACATAAAAATGACACTCACCACCCCTCCACCCCTCGTGTCTGTTGAACATACCCAATTATGCAGCCACTGAAGGCTGTGGGAATTAAAGAACTGCTTCAGAAAAGAGAGAAACGGCGCTGTATAGCCTTAGTCAGTAGAGGTATTATTATGAAGTATGACTGGTTCGTTCTAGGGGCGTCAATACAGGAGCCATTGCCAGTCGACCTACTGCTGAAACTGGTCTTACTGCTCCTGCTCCCATCAATCCTGTATGTTTTGTTCATTAGAAAGTAGAAACGAGCTCCTGATTTACTATCACTCATCGTTTGCTTTTTAGGAAGAATTCGAAAAGCTTTCTGAAGAAGATCAGATTGCTCACATAAAGGATGTTTCGACGGCAAAGTACCACTCTAGCAAGTAAGTTTCCTTACCTCAGCTCATTTCGTAGTATGTGAATCAAGAAGAATATTTTTTAATTCAGATCTATATATTAGATAATATACCTCCACAGTTCAAAAAATTATCTTTCCAGTTTTCAAAAGAAAACCACGAATATTATGTCTGGACCACCACCGCCAACCTACACCTGCAATCGCTGCAACCAACCTGGACACTGGTACAAGAACTGCCCAATGGTAATCATGCACAACTCGCGGAAGCCTTTTCCCGTTATCCGGTAGCGGCTGGGTTTGCTATTTGCTCCTTATTGGGAGCGATTATTACAAAGTCTAGGGTTTATCAGAATTACGGTTGCAGTCTTCGGGTATGTTCAGTCAGTTGAACGCGTCCGCTTTTGTTTATAAGTCTTTTTTATACTTCCTCATGTATATATGATTGTAATTTTCTTCTTTGTTGTCAAATGTTTGAATACGGTTATTGTTCGCCAGTGATCATTACGCTGGTCAAACCCTGTTGATCTCACCCTCCACAACGTTGTTATATTTGTTGGGTTTTCAAGATAAATTAAGAGCTAAAACCCATCTGTGTTAGATCACCGGATAATCGCTGAGTGATAGCATAGAAATTGCAAAGTAACAACGAAAGGAGCATAGTCGCAGCACTATTCATTGAGAGTGCCCGTGATTAACGTCGTCAGCTCAAGTTTTTGCAAACAAGGCATTAGAGTGTTTCATTAACATTCAGATGCCTCGCCATTGTTATTTGGGGGGTTACGGTCGATCCTGTGTTTTCAGTTGGCTACGAAACGCACCACTGGAATACCTTCACAAGAATTGATGGAAACTACCGCTGAAGATCCGTTAGCTATGTTGCATCCTTCCGGTAAATTAGTAGTGCCTATAATGCATTGGAAGGCCAGACAACATACTAAAAAGGCGCGTTTGTTGTAATGGTGTTGGGTTTATAATTTACCATCCACTCACTCTATGTTTTTGAGGTGGTAGAAGAAGGTCCCGCCATAGAACGAGTACCGCCACCAGAGTTGACATGCCCAATATGTTCACATCTCTTGAAGGTAGGCTTGTACGAAAAGAGGTTCTTATCGTAATTTTCCGTATATATTATTGAACCTGTTTATCGGTGTTAACGTGAAATCCTAGTCTGAGATGATGCTTTTAGGATGCAGTCCTTACAACTTGCTGTGGTAATTCTTTTTGTGCTGACTGTGCATCGAATAAAATTATGGAGTCTCCCGACCGTCAATGCCCTGGCAAAAATTGCGATCATAAACAGGTAATCAAATCTGCTGCATAGTAGACCGTGGCCATGGGCACACCTAGCGCGATTTCGGTCGCCAAGCGATTTGGCGCTTTATCGGGTGTGTTTTAATGCACTACGCGAGGAGTTCAAAACAAGTATAGCATGTGCTGTATAATTTATGTGCTCTTACATTGAGTTATAAACAACCGGCACTTCGGCAAATCGCGCGGCGACTGATGTTGCGGTAGGCTTGTTCAGAGCTATTGAATCAATTGCCGAGATGGTAAATGATAGAAAATGGGAAGAAAGATTGTGCTCATTACTCTATCTAGCAAAAAATTCTAGTTTGATTTCTGTATAATACTATTATAATAATATTATTATTATTATATTTCTGTATTTGACTTATTTACTAGCTTTCCTTGGATTCTCTGGTGCCTAACAAATCAGTGCGGCGGGCTGCAGCTGCATGGTCCATGGGAGGTTCAGGAGGTCAGGAGGAACACATGAGGTTTAGGTTTGTAGACTTTCTTTATTTGGACTAGCATAGTATGCGGAGAGGTCCAAACATGGATTCTAGAATAGGACTGCAACCATCAGCACCCATCTCCGCGGCTTCAACTCCACCGCAGACGATGTCTCCAGCTGTATCCCAGTCGACGATTGCACCTGCCCCTACAGTTACGGTACCATCCCAGGATCCAGCAGTTCAGGCTCAGAACTCTCCCACACCCTTTCCTAGTCAACCGGCTACGGTTTCTGTTCCTGTAAGAATCGACCGCTTCTTTTACTTCAGCATACTTCAAGCGATCTTCCAGGTTCCTGCGTCCTTTTCACAGCCACCTCCAAATATGGCACCAGCTGTGCCTGTTGTAGCTAGTTCGTCCTCATCGGGTGACGCTCTCCTCCCTCCAGGGACATCAGTACTTCCACCACAAACCATAACATTACCCCTTACAAGTGAGTTCAGCGCTAGCGTTTGCACTCCTAATCGACTCGTAATTTAGCTATGCAAACAGCAAACAGTTTACCGCCAATACCCGGTGTCGGTTTACCGCTGCAGCAACAGTTACTCGTGCCGGCCAATTCGTCATACATGTACGTCTGGTTATATCAAATGAATATGCGCGAAGTATCAGTCATATCTTAGGTACAACCAACCCCCACCTACTATGACTCTCGGCGCACCTCAGCCTCAAATCATGGATGCTTGGGACGCTTTTCTACATAGAAAGGATCGAGAGCGAGAAAGACCGCGTAAGAGAGCCAGGTCTGTTCATCAATTATTGCACGTCGCAATCAACATTAGTACATAGCGCTGCAAAATCGATGGCGGCATTATTGCATGACAATAAAGGAGCCGTTATTATAAATACGTGCTGAATCTGTGTTCTGAATATGACACTCTGTGCGCTCATAATTTATTCTGTTGCGCTCATCTACGATATCATCTATATTATTATGATTTTATGATTGGAAGTTGTTTCAGGAGCCGAAATCGATCCACAAGCTCAACCTCGTCTTCAAGCTCGGCTGAGGATCGCCGGAAACGACATAGTCGCCACGATCGAGATAAAAGGCGTGTTCATCGGAGTGACAAAGAAAAGGAGCATCGTGGTCGTGAGAACAGGTATCGCAATCATGGTGAAGATCGCAGAGATCGCGAACGGAATGACAGAGATAGGATAAGAGAACGAGAATATAGCGATAGGCACAGAGATAGCAGGTATAGCGAAATTTTCCGGGAGTAAGCATTTTGGATGATGTAGTTTTTCCAGAGCTCAACGAAGTACACATGTTTCGCGCAGAGAAGTGAAAGAGGTAGGTTTTGTTGTGATTTTCATTTCCCGACTCATTCAACGTGTGCAGGAACTTGCCCTCCCGTCGCTGATGGGCTTGGAGGTGGCTACTCCTCCGAATCTCCTTAGCAAACGCGAAAGGTCAAGGTCTCCATCTGCATCACCGCGGGAACAGATTGCTTCGTCAAGTGATCGCAAGAAACGAAAGAAGGATTCTCGTTTCAAGTCAGATGCGAAGTGGCGTTCGCGCAAAGAGAAAGAGCAAAGAAAAGGAAACGATAGCGAGGAAGTCGCTAAGGAGATTGCAGATGAGGAGGCTATCGATGGAACATTAAGAGAAGTTGCTGAGGTATGTTTATCTTTTCGACTGATTCAAATCATCCTGAAATTTTGTGTCTAGTTTGTTCGCGTTGAGGCGAACTGCGATGATGATGGCATTGAGTTCGATGTAGAAGAAACGGAAGTAGCAAAGGAAACAGTTACCGAAGCGGAGGACGAAAAGAGTGTTACTGATACTGAACCAGTTCCTGAAGAGCAACACGCCGCAGAGCCAGCGGAGGTTGGTTGCAAATCACAGTGTTTGCTTTTTCTATGATTTTCTTATCTTCCAGAATGCCATCGAACAGCTAAGCGAAGCCGACAATGAGGAACCTTTGGAACCGAAATCAGAAAGTGACGCTCTAGATAGGAAATCTGAATCGGATGCGACACTTGTGACCAAAGAAGACATAGAAGAAAAGGATACTCTAGAAGAGCATGTAGAAGAAGATGAAGAGAGAAGCACAAGAAAGAAGGATAAGAAGCACAAAAAGCATAAGAAACATAAGCGAAGCAGGTATGGTGTATGTTTGAAGGCACACTCCATTCAAACTGAGTTTGGTGAGATTTTGATGCTGTTTAGTAGATGAGCCCCTGGCTGAGTAAGTTGCCAAGTCACGCTGCAAAAGATGAATTCCGAAGCGAAAATTGCTCGACAAAGTACAATCGGCTGAGGTGGCTCCGCCTACTATAGGGGGTGGGTGGAAGGGTGGGTGGAACAGCTAGTCTGAAAGTGAGCATCAGGGTAGTTATGAACGCCAAAAATCTGGTAGTCATATCAAGGGGCGTTTATAAGATTTTAGATGCATTAAATTACAGTTTTGAACTTGTTATCTTACCCACGTTGCTGGGCGGAGCCACCTTGGCCGCTTGTACTTTCTGGAGTAGTTTCCCTGCTTCGGAATTCATCTTTTGCAGCGGGACTAGGGCAGTCATCTAGTGCGGGGCTCGGCTGTTATAAAGCATCAAAATCTCATCATCCTTAGTTTGGAGGCATGGGCCTCTAAGTTCATTAATTTGAGAATTATCCTCCAGTGTAGCAACACAATGGTTTTAGGGAGGCTGAAGATGAAGGCGGTAGCGAATCAAAACATCGCCATAAACGAAAGAAGGAAAAGAAAGAAAAGAAGGAAAAACGAAAGAAGGACAAGAAACACAAGCGAGATAAGGAGGAAGCAAGTGACCACCGGGAGGATTTGGGAAGAGAGGCGATTTCGCGCTCTAGAGTAAGTGTTTTCTATAATTTGAGCTCGGAAAGTTGTGTGAATATAAAATTTGTTACCTACCTAGGACGAAGATGAAGATCGCAGATATCAGGAAGCGAGAGAAGAGACTGTTGTTGAGAAAGACGTCAAACGCGAAAATCGTGATGATATCAAAGATGAACGAAGGGAATCAGAAAGCAGCAATTATAAGAAGAAAGAGGAGCACAAGTCCAGAGTATACGAGGATCGAGAGGAAAAGAAGCATGATGACAGGAAACATGATGATAAACGTTACGAGAAAAGTCGAGGAGAAGCTCATGAAAGCCGGAAACGGGATAAAAGTCAAGAAAGGAGCGAGAAACATAGACACAGAAGTCGCGAAAGGTCTGAACGGAAACACAGAGAGCATTCCAGCAAAAAGAAAGAAAGAGACAGTAGTCGTGAAAGGAATACAGAAGAGCGCCGGCAGGACACAGAACGGAAAGAAGACGTGCTGTCAAAAGAGAAACTTGAGAAAAGTAAACCTTCGCAGCCTCAGAAAGGTGGTAGTGGTAGCAGTAGACAAGAAAACGTCGCATCCGAAGCGGTCAGACGACAGCCTTCATCCCAATCGAACATGCCTTCCTCCTCATCTGTCGGGCGAGGTGGTGATAACCAAAGCAAAACAAACGTTGATCCTTCTATACTGGCACGGAAGCACAAGGATGTTGCAGCTGTTCGTGATCGCGATGAGCCTCAATTGAAGAAGCAGAAGCAGGTATGCAGGATCTATGATCCCTTTGTAGTTAATAGCATCGGTTTTTGACTAAGACTGCTTTTATGTTTACCTGAACAAATACAGGGTGGTCCCATGAAATGTGACACACAAAATGTTTCGTAACTTTGCTAAAACTCAATGAAATTAAAGGCAATCCCGGTAAAGTTTTGCTCTTCGGCTTTTTCTCCACACTCGCTGCAAAATACGTGTAAATGAGAGGGGGCCGTAGGTTTTTCAGAGCGAATATCAGGCTTCCCAGACGCGATTTTTCTCTCCATACTTTACCGATAGATTAGTTGGGCGGGAAAATCTCGATTACCCATCATTTCGCTGAGACAATCTCTTTACGCTTTTGTGATGTCTGGTAGACAAAAAATTCTGTGTAAGATCTTATAGATTACTTCCAAGATCCACCTCTGATTTTGGTGAAAGGATTTTAGCTCGAAAAAATCTTCAAAATGTGCGCAATGGTTTTCGTCCCAGGCTGTAGCGAATTCAATGATTTGTTTTTGGAAGAGCAGACTTTTTGCTCACAGATATGTCAAAAAGGGATTTTGTGGTTCCAAGAATGTTTAAGTCGAGACGCCAAATATTGTTCATTCATATGTGGCCCACATGAAGTTTGACGGCCTGCGAAAAATCCATTTTTTGGTCAATTTTGTTCCATCTTTAGCTTCTCCATATTCTTTTGTCCCACTGTGGTTGTTCCCGACTTCGGTTCTTACTCAAACATGGTCAGGCTTGAAGGTTCTTTGAACGCAATCGCGATGGCAACGAAAATCGACCTTCTCGATATTCTGAAAAATGCATCAGAAGCAAACTTTGAACGGCTGTGGTATTTTCTTGAGTCAAAGCAAACACTGTGAACTTCTGGAAATCTTGAGCATGACGGACCCCAATCCGCAGCGAAAAGAAGAAATTGCAATCGTGTGAAATTCATCTTTCGGACGTGGAGAAAATTATTCTTGGCGTTCTAGCTTGCTCATCTTTGATCCCACAAATAATCTCTTCTGTCTGCCTGAGAGAAAAAATTCTCTTCTCAGAACCCATGTCATTTGATTTTTCTAAAAAAAAAAAGAAAGAGATTTTGAGACTAAATACTCTTGCGCCCAAATCGAAGAATTTGTGGAAAGATCTGAAAGAGAATAAATGATTTTACCCATTCCAGAGACAAATATCTCAAAGGCGATCAAGAACATCTCAGTACAGTCTTCTTTTCTATAAGATGAGGACAAAAGTTTCTGATTTCATTCAGACTTTGCAAAGTTATAAAAATTTTCTTGTTGTGCCACACTCTATGTGGATTACCTATTAGGTCATTAAAGCAATATATTGCGGTTAGTTTCAGTGGTTGGAAAAATTAGTCATCAAAATTTGAGAATGTTTTTGAGAGAAAAGAATTTATTGTCTCATATTATGTGGATATACTTGCAGGAATCCTCTATTCCTACATCAGCATCATCTACCGCTAGCAAATTAAAGCCGGCTGCGCCAATAATCAAATTCAAAGTTAACCCTCCCAGTCTGAAGAGGCCTCTTCCCTTACTCAAATCAGCTCCCTTGGGTGATAAAGATTCAACTGATGTTGAAGAAGATAAAGCTAAGGTTAGTTTTGAATCTTCTGGGAAATCCTTTTATGTCTCATCACTTTATTCTCTCTCCAAATTTTGGTTGATTATAGAGTTTCCGATAATATCGTCGAAAGACGCTCAGTTGAATGTTCTTCAGCTTACTGGTGATGCTAATACTGGGACTGATCGACGAATGCGAGAAGCATTTTCTCCACCGAAACTGCAACGCAAAAAGATCACTTTGAATCTGTAGCTGTTGTGCTGCCTTGTCAATATCGGGTCAATCGAAAACTTCACGGTTTTCTTGTTGTAAATTTTTAGTCTAGATTGTACTATTGCAAGAGAAGGCTGAATATGTGCTGAGCTTACTTGTTGGACATTGGTCGAGATTGAATTGATTTTATTTCATAGATAATCTCTAAGGCTACGCGTGATGGCTTTGTGCTTCTCCAAAAGAAGGAATATGCATAGTTTTTGTTTTTGATTGTATTGTTACGTTGAATGTTAATAATAAATCCTGTAAAAATTTATTCTGTGTTGTTCAGGGGTTATGCCAGATTGTATCATCTTTCCCTCAAACAGATATCCTGAACGATATGTTTCATGTCTATCAGTCTAGGGTTTTATTATTGATCGAAAAAAAAGTGAAGAAAAGCGTGAGTTTATGGAGGTTCGCATCAAAGATGCCGAAGTTGGCAGCACCTTATGCCAACGCAAATTGACCGACGGCAGTTATGTACTAAAAGATGCGGTGAGTTCATGGTTAGAGATTCAAGGGTATAGCCCTAATTGCATCGAACAGTTTGATTCCGTGTGCTTGAGGAAGAGGTTTACACCTTTTTTTTCTATTTTTTGTTGCTAAAGTGTGCGAAGCGACATCGGCATCGCATAGGCCATTCATCACTTTTTTAACGTCCATCCACTGTAGTTTTTTTTGGTGAGGTATATCGCTGCACTAAAATGCTGCTGCTGCGGAAGTACTGGTACATGTACAAAAAAAACACTCGAGTTTTTTTGGGGCGGCATGACCTCGCATGTAAGCGTGCATAGTCCGCCGCCTTGATAGCGATTTGACAATCTTGAAAGAAGTTCATCTTTGTTTCAATACACTCAGAGCGTTCCAAAATAAAAGCTAAGAAAAAAGTCATGGGATATACGCTGAACAATAACAAACTTTTTAAGGTTCAAGTCTAGTGACAAACCTTCAAGAATGCTAAAGGCTTTACGTTTTTGAAATGTGCTTGAGATGGTGCATGATATATGGCTCGCTAATAACAGAGGATTAAAGCTCCCCTCATGTGCTAATAGAAGCAGTTCTTTGAAATTAGTTCTCCTCGTAATAGCTTGAAGGTGACGTTGTCATGTAAATCAAATTTCTAGGTCGTTCTCGAGTACAAAACACCATCCGGCGAAATGGTCAAGTTGAAAGCACCGATTGAAGGTGTTGTGACATTTGATCGCGCAGCAAAGAAGGGAGCGGAGATGGTCCAAGTAAGATTATTTTTTGATATTCACTTTGTACCTGCTGTTCTTTTCAGGACATGCTAGTCGCGCGAATAGAACCTTGTCAGCATGCTATTGTTATCAAGGATATGTGTGCTACATGTGGTCGTGATCTTAGAGAGTAAGTAGACATGAAAAATTTGTTTGCCTATATTTTGCTTATTTTTATCATAATGGTGGGGCTCGATGTCAAATTTATATTCGAAGTTTGAAATTTTTTGTTAGGAAGAACGGAAGAGCAGGACAGAGACGAGAGGATTCCACCGCTAATGTATCGATGATCCATCATGTACCAGAGCTTATTGTATCTGACGACGTGCGTGAACCCTAATGACCTTTCTACACTTTTCATTGTCCTTATTTCAGCTGGCAAAACAAATTGGCTCTGCCGACTTCAAAAATGTCCTTTCATCTCGCAAGCTAGTCTTGTTAGTGGACCTGGACCAAACTATAATTCATACCACTAATCGTCCATTCAAAATCGATCCAAACGTGGTAAGTTGCCTAAAATCTCATTTTCAGTAGTAGATGCTAAGTTTTCCCGTTTATATTTCCAGCATCATGACATCCACACATACATGATGTTTGGGATGGAGTATCATACAAAATTACGACCCTACACTCGTGAGTTTCTTGATCATATGAGCACACTGTACGAGATGCATGTGATTACATACGGACAACGGCAATATGCTCACAAAATTGCTGAGGTAAGCAGTGTCTTCTTGGCTGTTTTCTGCACTTTTGTATCCTCTCTTGACCCGTTTTTATAGATTCTAGATCCTACAAAAACATTGTTCGCCCAGAGGATCATGTCCAGAGACGAACTATTCTCGGCACAACATAAGACAAGAAATCTGAGAGCATTGTTTCCCTGTGGAGATCAGCTTATCGCAATCATCGACGATCGTGCAGATGTATGGCAATTTTCTGAAGCTCTGATTCAGGTAAGTGAAGAGCAATTGTTTGCGCACTTGCTTTTTTCAACAGTTTTTCATCAGTTCTTCAACAACGTTTGGCCAAAGATAACTCGTATTTATGTTGAGGCAGTGAGATAATGTATAAATAATTACCTCTACAGATTTTCTAATTAAATTACTTTTTTGATTTGGTTTGATACTATACTATGCTGCTACTATTGCGCGCACAATGTACCTCTGAACATTGTTAGGAAAAATCACTTGTTCTACCTTACTTTGCGAAAAGTTCTTCGTCATTCTGCATCTCTTCGAAAACTATTGGAGCGAAGGAGTTTTTGATTGCGATAAAAGTTATGTCATTGCTGCGCGCATGATGATTATATAAACCAGTTTCATCAATACAAGTTCTGCGCATTGCTGTGTTTGTTTGCTAACAGTGTATGCTTTATTTTGGTTGTCTCTTATCTAGGCTCAAAATTTTGCTTTTTGCTTTAGGTAAAGCCCTACAGGTATTTCAAGGAAGTTGGTGATATCAATGCACCTGCTGGAAAATCAAAAGAGAGCCTACCTCCTATTGACATAGGTAATCGTTTTAACTATATAAGTTGAGATGGGGAATACCTAAAATTATATTTAAACATAAGATAACTTTTACGAACCCGTTTTTCAGAAGAAGATGCAGAAAGCGATCGAACCTTGGAATACATAGAAAAGATGTTAACGGATGTGCACTCGAATTTCTACAAACATTATGATAAAACGCAGGAAGTCAGGGATGTCAAGGTCACCAATCTCATCGCATTTTATGACCGGCAGGAATATATTAAAAGATTTATATTTAGGTTGTCATAAGTTACCTGAAAAAGCAAGTGTTGCGTGGTCTCGTAATCGTGTTATCCGGAGTTGTTCCGCTCGGTGTGAGACATGAACATTCGGAAGCTTATCGGCTTTGTGTACAATTCGGTGCAACTGTAAGTTATCAACGATGTCTTCATGATCGATTTTTTGATCCATATATCTAGGTAGCGGATCAAGTGACTGAGCAAACAACACATTTGATAGCCGTACGATGGGGAACAACGTAGGTCTTGCCTGCAAAATCACTAGTTCCAATGATACATCAACCTATTCAGGAAAGTCATGGCTGCATGCAGAATGGGCATCCCCATTGTAACACCTCATTGGCTTTACGCATGCGTCGAAAAGTTGATGAAGGTAAGCCTAGTTTCGTTGGTCTATGCAAATCAGAATGGGTACCCTGTATCGAATTTCTTATTTTTCTGACGAAAACTTCGCAGTTTGTTCGGGTTTTTTCTACAATATTTCCAGCGCAATCCTGTTGAAAAAGTGGTTTTCGGTAGAATTTTTACTTTTTTTTTGGTAGAATTGCACTTTATGGATTCATCAGATCTCCATGGTTGATTATTGTTGCTGCTATCCTTTATTTTCCAGGCGGATGAGAAAGAATTTGAGTTAACGAAAGATTCTAAACCACCTGAAGGGCGTCCACTGGGAGGTAAAATAATTCCTGAACTGACCAGTATTGACGCCATGAAGAAGGAAACAATTGCTGCTATGGAACATGAGGTTTATCTAGTCTAGCTAAACTTGTAGATGTGATTTATATCCTTTTTGTTCAGGTTGACGAAGTCTTATCAGAGGACGATGAAGATGAGGAAGAGCAAGAGGAAGTGCTCAAGCGAAGACTGAATGGCGGGGATGGTAGCGGAGATGATGAAGATGGGATCGAATTGGAATTGGCAATGAAACGTGCCCGATGGGAACGCGAGGGCAACTTTGAGACGCCTGAGGAATCCCAAGATAACGTCGATGTCCATGCTGATGATAGCTTTGCTGAAGACAACTATGATGAAGAAAGAAATGGATCGGATGGAGAAGATAAAGAAGTAATACCCGTGGATGACGAAGAGACCCGTGATGTCCCATATAATGATGATGATGACGAAGACATTGAAGATATGGCGGCTTTGATAGAGAGGCAAGTTTCGCATGAAGGATGACACCTGGTTATTTTATTGTTCTAACCTCATTTTTTTTCCTTTTGCCTTATTAGCGGCAGCAGTTCTTGCATGAAGGCATCTGCTATAAGAAAAGGGCAGTCAAGAGATTTATGAAATTTTGAATTTGATGAGTCTTGGACCTAGAAGAGAAATGGCCGTCAGCTTGTTAGGGATCTCTTTGTTGATGCCTTCATCTCATCTACATCATTTTTTTATTATAGGATGGCTTTGCATTTTTCTTGTTCATTTCCCTTGCACTATGCGAGATTCATGCAACGTCACCTAATGCTCAGGTTAAATCCCATCCCGAAAAAGTTGCCTTTATTTTGAGCAGGTTTGTTCTTTGTTGACCTCTTTTTCATGCTGGCACATGACAGAGGAAATCAATGTATATGGTTTGTTTAGCATTTTGGATTGTTATTATGTTTGTTGTTTATTTTCTGTTTTGGCGTATCTTGCTGTTTCTGGAATGTGTGTTTGCCAAAAGAACAACTTTTGGATCAGCTTCTCTTTCAACTTTGCCCCGCTTTTCGTTTTCTTTCTCGTTATCGCAACCGCGAAATGTGTATCCGTTAAAACAGCAAGTTCATGCCTGGATACTCTCTTACCTTTCTCAAATCGTGTGACAAAGATAGCACGCCGAAGTGTCGATGCCTCACTCATTTCACTTTTGAGCTGTCTTATTTTGCAGGTGCAAGATAGGGCAGTAGATGCTGAGATATCCTTGTTCTATCGTTTTAGCATTCCATTATCGTTTGTCAACATCTATGTCCTAGAATAGGGCGCTGAGACTTATCACAAAACAGGATCTTCATGTCACGTCGAGTTCTTATGATTTTTTTTTCCAAAAGTTCTTCTCAACTAAGCCGAGAGATGACATGTTGTTCTGTCTTGTGTAAATCCTCAGAGGATTCACAGCGCTCACATGTTTCTCCTCATTTCCTTTTCCCCTTCCCTCCTCTTCTTTTACCTGCAAATTTGTTATGTGGTTTTTGGTCACCTTATCCACAAAGGATGTTTGTCTGGTTAAGATAGATTTGATCAAATGCTGCCATTTCTCGTTGCGTCGGGTTGATGTTATTTGATACTCATATGATGTTTCTGTATTTTTCGCCTGAATTTCTTTTTTGGTGTACATATGTCAGTATAAAAAGATTATTTTTTGAAGATTTATGCGGATTTGTCTGGTCGAGGTGAAGACCCCTCGAGATACTTCTTGTGATATTCACTCTTTTTGACATCTTGTCGATTCTATTGAATACTGCATGTTAGACATTGATTGTGTTTTACGAGTAGCAATTTAGGAATGCCCGAGCTCAGCTGATTGCTGACTTGTCCATTCTCTTTTGCTGTTATCTTCGCTCATATGGTCTGCGCCGCTGTTCCAATTTGATTGATCTTTTGTATTGAAGGTTCTAATATGGATTTTGATAGTAACGATGGAACAATTGTTAGGAAAATTCAGCAAAATATCGAAGAATTAGGACAGCAAGGTATGTGTTCGTAAAAAAAACTGTATATTTTCAACATTCATAGTCTCATATCTTGGCCGGTTTGAAAGAAAATCCTTTCAGTACAACACCTCGACTCTTTCGTTAATCGTCTGACCGAAAGCGAACAATGTCGCGAACACTTCAACCAGGTACAGTATCCCTTCAGTCTGTATTCGAATCGAAAATGAAGAGTTTTTCGTAAATGTGCAATCAAGCAGATACTGGATGTATACTTTATCTTTATAGTTAGCGCACACTGCGCAGCAATTGTCGAAAGAGACCAACCAACTGATGAAACAGCTCGTTCAGCTTAGCAATGCAAACGTGAGTAACAATCAAAAATTTCATATCGAAGAGTATCTATAAAATTTATTCAGCGGTAGATGTTTGGGTTGACATCTTTATATGAACCATCTACACTTGAGCTTCTACGTTTTGATAATGTAGATTTATTTCAGCGATCATTGCGTATCCATCGTGAACGATTGCAAAATGAATACATAGGTGTTCTGAATCGGCTGCAGGGCTGCCAAAGGCGTGCAGCTCAAACTGAGAAGGCCAGCATGCGTAAGGTAAAGTTTATTTTGTTGGAAGTTTCTTTTCTATGACATCCATAGTTGTGTCAAGAGCCTTTTTTATTGAAAGTCCTACTGCTAAAACATTTGCAGATGCGTGATGCTGCCGAGCAAGATGAAGAAGCCGCTAAAAGAATGGAGGAGGAAGCTGCTGCTCAAGGGAGTCATATAAAGCGACAACGTCAACAACAAATCAATATTAATGAAATTAGGGAAAGACAACAGGTATGCACTTGGACAATAAGTCTTTTTATTCCATTTATGGCGCTAGTGTTTGCACAAACGGTATTAGAGGGGAAATCATTTTACGAAGTCGATTCGGCTGACTATCTCTGCTAACTCTTTTTCTCCGTGAAGTTTCGTTAATCTTCAAAAGTCTTTGTTGAATTAATCAAATCCCATTGTTTTGAAATCAGATCCCCTCGTTTGCAAGCTGCTTTTTCCAGGCTCTCCAACAGCTTGAACAGGATATTGGAGACGTCAATCAGATATTTGCGGATCTAGCTCGAATAGTACACGATCAAGGTGATATGGTAGACAGCATTGAAGCAAACGTAGAGCACGCTCAGATCCATGTAGAGCAGGTAACTTTGCATTTCATTTATACACCTGTGGAAGTAGAATGATAGTTAACCGGAGGGTATTTATACGGTTGAATAATTATTATGGGATGCCTGTTAGTTTATTTTCAAATCCTGCAAGTTTATTTGATAGCTGGGAACCTAGCGCTTTCCGAAATTGAAGATATTGAGTGAGCTGAGCGGATTTTTGCTGAAAAATTTAGTTAAAGTTACTTTTAGGGAGCAAGTAATCTACAACAAGCTGTTTACTACAACCAAAAAGCACGCCAGAAGAAATTGCTGCTTTTTGCTTTTCTCGTAATTCTTTGTCTTATAATCGGTTTGACTATCTATCTTTCTCGGTGAAGAAAAAACCTTTCCATCCTTTGAGTTCTTTGCTTTGTTATCACTAACTTATTTTTATCGGTTGTGTTTATTTTTCTTTGCTTCAACAGTTTGTCTTCTGAAATCGTACAGTTCTTAAACTTCAAGGCTTCCCATGAATGTTTTAGCAGTTTTGTTTTGACAACTTTTCGCTTAAACCTCGATTCATCGCATCTGCTTCATTATTCATTGCCGCGCACATTCAACTATTTAGTTCATTCGGCAAGAATGGTGTATCTATCAGTAATACTTTTTGCTCTTTTTTTAAAAATTATATCTGCTTATGAGAAATTGGACTTTGCTTTCGACCTGCTTGAGATTTTTCGCGGTGCATTGTGTTGATTTTGTGATGCAGTTCTGAGATATTAGGAACTCGGTGTTCTGTAAAATATGTGTGAAAATATGCGTTTTGACCCTTTGCTCTAGACGACCTCCGAATGTGGCCTACAGTAATACTTGGTATGAATAAACATGTCTTCTCGAAGCCAGTAGCCTGTACACTTATACTCGCACTCACTCGACTAGGCCTCAAGTCGGTGACTCTTGAATTCTTAGGGAAAATGGACTTTGCTTACTTTTATCATAGAAAATAATGCTAGATACTTGGTGCATTTTACGAGAAGCTTAGCTTAATGGGTAAGAAGATCTCTACTATTACAGTCACACCATCTCCATATATATATTAGGTTGATTCATAATTAATGCACGTTTTCTCACCTCTTCTTGAAGAGCTGATATTTAATGAGTAATCAGTATACTCGAAAACTCTTTACGCTATCTGAAAGAACGTTTTTTCTAGTTTCTTATGTGGGTGTTCAATTTTGTACATCTTCGTTCATTCCAAGGTTCTGAGCCTTCAAATAAAAGAGACTAAATTCCAAAATTTTTGCTATTCACTTTTTTGCCCTAAATCCATAGGATTAGCCGGATTGATTTTGAGAAATATGCATGAGGATCAGAAAATTTTGTGATATAAGATGCTATTTGAATAAAACTCTCCATGAATTCTGAGCCGAGAAATTCAATTGCAGAGTTTAATGATCGTCGCGGTCCTTCCGTGCCATATAAAACTTTGAAGCAAAAGGCGATTGCAGGTCTCTTGCACTATTCAGCAAGGGCAGACCTAGTTCTTTCTGAACCCGCTGAGATGCCAGGAAAAAGTGAGTACTTTCGACTTTTTCGCGATATTTCCTTTCAAAAATTTTCCGTAAAATCCAAGCTTGGCACTACTGCTCAAGAGACCCTTGGCTACACGATAAGCGAAGTGTACTCTATCCTACTTCATTTCAACATAAGTTATGCTTCTGAAAGTAGAAGCTTCTGAAAAAAGTTGTTGGCAGTCTTCAGGCGAGAAAATCTTTCTCGTGATAGATACAGTCACACAAAAGTATCTGTTTTATAGCCATTGATTTGATGGTTACAGTATTTTTTATCGCGCCCAGAAACGCCTTTTCAAAAAAGAGTTAGCTTGGTTGAAAGTTGAAGTATAGAAAACGTGCATTAATTATGAATCAACCTAATATAAAGCAGAAAATCTGTGTTTGTGTATCTTTGCACAATTCCCATAGTCGTGAAGGATGAGGGGTGAAGCTCATTTTGATCTGCTGTTCATCAAGATATGGCATGAACGGTAGGAAGCGAATCCGAGACGAGTCGGAATCAAAAGAAGAGTAAATCTTGCTACAGTCGGTTTCATCCCGGATTAGGCGAGATATTCTACTGGAGCAGCGCATGCGCATCGCTGGAGGCTTTGCGAGCGCATAGCGCTGGCATTTTGCCAAGCAAAGACTAAGGAGATTGAAGAGACGCAGACATGGGTTCCCAGCACGATAGGGTATACTGTAGCTGCGAAACGGCGCGAGCTATTGCGAGGCGGACTCCGCCAATCCAATTTCCGCCTAAAGCGGGTCGAAACTTACTGTACATGAGAGATCAAGCATCATGGACTAGCTCCAGAAAGGGGTGGAACCTGGAAGGCCAGCTCGTTCAATATTAACTGGATCTAAGTGGGTTATTAATGCAGGTGGGTTAGTTTTTTGTTGTGGCAGCATTATAATGTGCCCTTTCGATTTAAAGGGATTTGCGGCTGGAAGGCGGGGCCTCGAAGCCTAATCAAGGCTAGGGAATATTTAGAGATCGCGCTCGCGAAAAAGGCAGACTGCGTTGTGGGTGCAAGCGATCGCTTTCCACCCGCCAATCTCGGTGATCACAGGGTAAAGCCCAGGCAAATCAAGGTATTTGGGTTTCGAATTAAAGTGGACCTCAACCATTGTCTAAGCGGGAGCACCTACGATTCATTTCTGGTTGAAAAACAAACTCCATCCATACAGTGTTTTCACCTTATTTGAAAGCGAAGTGAACGATGATTTTCAAAATTTGTGAAAGGAACAGAGCTCGGCACAAGCGGCATCAGAACTTTTGGAACGAAGTCCTTTTGTTTATTGAATTCTTAAATTCCTAACCTCATTAACTATGAGTTGTTTTTATTTTCTAAATTTCTAATGCCCAATTCGTTTTCGCTAATATCAATCTACTACTTCAGTGTATATAGTATGAGAAGGGCTCATAGAAAAATTGAATTGTGCGTGTGTTTCTGTTAGTGCCAAAAGGACACAAGAGCTTGACTGCGGATCAAGCATGTATCTATTTTCACCAACCACTAAACGTAATGCGACAGTCAAATCAAAATTTGGCTGATTTATTCCTGGAAAAAATTTCGAATTTTCTTGTCAACTGAAATATACTCTGTACGCAGGCGTAACTTTGCAGGTTTATACGATATCGTTCCGAAAGTCTCTTCTCTTGCATTAAACTTGCGCAGTAAGGGAAAGTAGGCCTTTGCCTTTGATACAGTTAGGTATGGATATTGAAAGTTGAATTGAAGAAGGATTAAAATTTTTTTTGAAAATCACACTTGGGAGGCAGCATATTGAAAATCGGTGCTATTTTTGGCTCTCTCAAGTGCGCCTAAGAATCAGAGGATGTCTTTTAAATCAATTTGGAAGCTTTAAAAAATGCTCATGATAGGTACTCGTCTACACCAGTAAATAAAGATATATTTTTTTACCTGGAAAGCTTTGCACGTGTGAGTCCTACAATTGATTTTCAACAATAAAGTTATTGCTTGTATGCAGGTATTTTTCGCAAATACATGCTCGTATTTCGTAAAAGAATGAATTTTTGCGAATGCAAATAGAACTATGTGATATTGCAATCAGTAACAACCTCACTTTGGAATGGTTCAGAAAAAATTTGTAATTATTTAGTTGCAGAGCAAAATACAAAGGCATAAAAATGGCAATTTTACTTGATTGAAATTCATTGGTCTCATTCTATCTATTCTTACATTCTTGTTTAGAGCTCTTTTCGAATTCTGAAAAAGATATCTAGTAGAGTCTGTATGGAGCATTCTATGACATAAAATTGGGCTCATGTTTCTCGATGGTATATTCGTGGCAGCAGTGCAAACGTCGGCGCAACTTATTTGGGCGCACCCTGTACATATTTGCCCAGTTTGATTTTATAACTATTAGGGACCCGTCATACTTCTCCGAAAAAAGCCCCAAAAAGCCCGAAAAAGCCCAAAAAACTGAGAAAGCCAAATCGCCACTTCCGCTTTGACGCTAAGGCATGTGTTTGGTTTCGCTACCGGTCTTTTTGCTTCATTTTCCGTCGTCTGCACATTAAAATAACGTCAGAATTCTACCAAAAGTTCGTTACGGGTTTTTCGGGCTTTTTCGGTTTTTCCGGCTTTTTTGGGCTTTTTCGGGCTTTTTGGGGCTTTTTTGGGCTTTTCTGGGCGCTTTTCGGCTTTTCTCGGCAAAGTATGACGGGTCCATTAAGGATGTCTGGAAAGGGCAAAAGCCAATATAGAATTCGCTTTCAACATATATTACACAGTGGCGTTCCCAGGATTCCCATCCGGGGAAGGGGGGGGGGGTGTAATTTTTTCAAATGAAGATATATGGCGTTGGCCAAGCTCTCCGAAAAATTTGGGATGCTCAAAATTTTTGTGGGCCCTCAACCCCTTCACACCCCGAAATTTTTTTTTACAAGGCTGATTTGAATTTTTGAAAAAAAATTATTTCAATTATTTGCAAGAATAAGTCACTTGCACATTTTTATACCATGTAAGTAAATTTTAAAAATTTCGCGACTCATTCTCGGAGGGGGGGGGGGGGGTGGGGGAATGAAACGCCCCCTCCCTCCAAAGAAATTTCACTAATGATGCGGATTCATTATCTGTCAAATTCCACTTTTAAATTCGACATGATATCTGCTGAAAGTGGCAATGATCAGGTTTATGATGACATCTGCGGAACTAGCTGTCCGCACTTCGTTGCACCTGCAAATCATCTAGAAATTTCTTACTTTTGTCGATTACACGTTCAATGTCGTCATTACCACAAAATTTTATAGCTTGTAAACAGATAAAATTTTTTTAGAATGTAATAAAAGCGAGTATCTTCGCTATGGAACTACACAATCAGAATTATCTATCAAGTGAAGTTTTTCTTAAGATGTGAAAAACTAAACATTTGCTTTGTGCCCTAACATCAACGAAAGTCTTATCAATTTTTCAAGTCAGACAGTTTACACAGCGGGTTCAGGCATTCATTCGTCTATTAATCGAATTGCACTGGGCCCCGTTATTCGTGCACTTCCATTGTACCGGGTCTTTACAAAATTTACCTGCACACTCCTTGTTATACCATTTACCGTCAATGCTAGTTTGATAACGGTATCATAATAGTATATCTTTTCACAATACCTCATCAGTCCAACCGTTGCAAAGATGCAAAGCTGTGTGGAACACTTTCTTTAGGTTTATTAAATCTCGTTTTCTGTCATTAAGATTCTCTTGGTCTTTCAAGAATATGAAATAATGCCTGCTCCTAGTTTTATTGATTAATTATCGACTTTTTGGCTAAATATAATAGAATAGATATTTTCGAAACGATTAGAAAAGAAGTAAGCGTCCCAACTACATGTAGTAGATAAATTAGCTTTTGAAGCGAATGGACAAGAAATAAGCGTCCCAGCTACATTCAGTATAATTTTTGATTTCAGGAAATTCAAAAAGACCGACTCACTGCGTTTCTTGTTTTTGTAAAGCCTAAATGAATGGATCATCAGTAAGCGTTGTGTTTGAAATTTGGTTATTCAGCAAATTTAAAAGGAAAGTCTAGAATTAATCTCAACATTGTTTTTTTAATTATTGTAGTTGCAGTGAAGCAGAAAAGTACATTACCATTTAATTTCAAACTAATGAACCATAATTCAAACGCGCTAGATTTGCAAGAGCGTTCGCTGCGGGAGCCGTTTCACCTTCTTTGAATAAGCAAAACGATTCACTATTCATATATAGATTGCAAAGGGAGCAACATGAAAGTGTCGATGCCCTTAAGCAAATTTTTTACACACAGAGAACTCATTGAACTGGTATAACTCTCTTTATTTTGGATCACGAGCTAGTGGATCT